TTTTCCATTCATATATTTGTTTTTGGTAATGAGCTGTACCTATTTAGTAGAGCTTGACCGATATGGGTTTTGATGGCGGATATCGTTATATGGGCTTTAAAAGGCCGATATCCTATATATTGGACGATATCTGATATATATCGCCCACAATATTTAAAAAACAACTGAACATGCACAATATGCGTTGTTCAACTATAGTCCAAACTTAAGTTCTCATAATAACCAAAAATATAATTGATTCATTTTTAAGACTCATTGTCATGGGACACTTAAGTGTAGTTTTACAAAATCACAGCTTACCATGGAGTAAAATTCATATTTCTTGCTCTTTATCCAACTCCATGCTAACGCTAGCTGCAGCTGTGTGTGTTTGTTTGTGGAGAGGGGAGGTGCAGAGAGAGCTCACTGAGAGGAGGAGTGGCACGAAGCAGCTCAGCTCTCAGGGAAGGATAGGGCAGAGGAGCAGAATCAGCACCCAGCCGAAGTTTCTTTCAGCTGTTTGCAGCTAAATTTAAATTTCTTTTTTTATTGGCCACATTTTGGTCGATGTCAATTAATGAGCCAGATGCTAAAATCCGCCCGCCGATTAATCGGTCAGGAACTACTATTTAGTGCTTCTTTAAGTTAAAGCGTTCCAAAGTACTTTACATTTAGTAATTCATGCACACATTCCATCAACGCTACAAGTAAAAATTGTAAACGACAGCTGCCCTAGGGCAGACTGACAGAAGCAAGGCTTCCATGCAACCTGTGCAACCAAAAGCAGGCAAGGAGGAGGAAATGTCTTGCTCATTAACACAACAACAGACATAACAGGGTCTCAAACCTCTAACGGCTACTGGATCAACCCTCACCCACTATTGCCACTGTACTGTCTTTAAACACTTAAAATAGTGAAATGCAACCAACACAAATTTCTAAAATTTAAAATATTCAAAAGGCATTCAATGTGTCACAGCTATGTACATGAACTAAAAACAAAAAAGAAAGCATATTAATAAGTTTGCATGTTTTTTAAATGAAGCTGAATAAAATAACAATCAGAAATAGATCAAACTTTGAGCAAAAACATTCATAATACACATGAACAAATAAATAATTAACAAAGCTGCAGCAAAAATAAAAACAGGATTATGCTGACCAAAAACTATCACATTTAACCAGGAAGACAGTAATTTTAAAACAAAAAAATCCAAGAGACTCATATTGGTACATAAACACATTCTCACAAAAAGCTATTTATTATTATTTAACAAAAACCTGTGTTTACCTTTTATGCTGCAGTTCAAAGCAACCATATAATTAAACTAGGGCTGCAACTAACAATTTGCTAATAGATTAATCTGTTGATCATTTCTTCGATTAATAATCGGAGGGCCAAAGGTTCTTTAAGGAACAGTTTTCACGAAATTAAACCAGGTGAAACTCTTACTTTTCATCTTGAGGAGATCTGGATAGAGCATATTGACAGACTTAAATGCAAAATGTTGTCAGCTAAAGACATGTTTTAGAGTCTCTATACTCCAGTTAACTATTAATTGATTACTGAAGTAGTTGATGATTATTTCAATCATCGTTTAATCAAGATTAATCCCATTATTTGTGTCAGCCCTAAATTAAACTACTGAATTTAAGGCTCCAGAGAGAGAATCTATTTTTTTTTTTCTTTTATTATTTAAACTGAAATAAATTTTAACATTTGAATAAAAAGTTGTACAAGCATTCAGTAAAAGATTAAGACATTTACAGAAGCATAGTTTAACACTATTTTGTCCATCTGCTGCAGGTAAGGCATAAAGACACTTTCCTCATGAATGACAGCAGGTCCTTGTTGGGAAATCGAGTTTAATTGATAAAATTATTCATATTGATAATATATTGAGCAGTCAGAGCATTAAATCCTATTTTGGTATTTCTTATCCTTTTATCCTGGCTGCCTTTATAACAGATCCCCCATTTTTCTAGTCTTGTCTGGGTTTGGAAAAGTTAAAAGCCTTCTGACTGTCATCATGTCTCATCTTTTGCTTTCTGATCACAGGCGAATGCAAACTTCAAAATCTGTCACCATACATCAACCCAGTCTCTCAGATCAGGAAATGTATTCCTTCGTAGGATTATGAAGCTTCTTCTGAGTTTTTTTAATCTAGAATTTTCTCTTTTTTTTAATAAGGTTTCAATGTTCATTCACATAAAGTTCTGAACCAGATCTGCTTTGATATCCACCTACAAAAAAAGAAAAGAGTATATATTTCAATGCCTGAAATGTATATTTTTTTTCTTTCCAAGGTTGCTTTTAGAAAATTCCCCAAATACTGCCTAGAGGTGCTAATTAAACTATCATTGTCAGAGCTTAAATAGTTTTGCTTTTTTGGTTGAACTCAATGCAGTCAGTCCTTAATTTTAATAAATGCACTCAAATCTGTAGATCCACATGGTATAAATACAAATACCCTGGTAATATAGCGATTGTAAAATTATAAACATAAAAAACTGTCAAACTTAGTCAGTTTTTTTTTTTATCTGAAACAAAAAGTATTCATAATAAACAGTATAACATACTAGAGTACTGAACATAATACCGGTATGTACTGAAGTTATACTCAAGTTATTTTAACATCATAGTTTTAATTATTATTTAAATACTTTATACATAATCAAATATTGTTTAGTCTTTTGCTCTAAATTGTTTTTGCAATTTTATGATACAACCTAGAGTCTTTTATTATTCCCTGAAATCACTATATAATATATAATCCTTTAATAATTTTTTTATTATATAAACACTTGAAGTCATTGTATAGTTTTTATGTTTTGAATCTAAAATTGAACCTGGCTTTAAGAAAAATCAGCTTTCTATCATCATTCTAATTTGACTTCCAAATTTATTTAGATTTAAAATCTTTGTTAGCATCTTAGCATTTACTAAAATTTCTAAGCTAAATATTAACACCTCCGTGCTGTGTTTCATATCATTATATATCCTGCAATGATCACTTATTTAATTCTTTAATGACAAGAAGAAAAGATAAACATTTTTAACATCTGTTTGTTGTTGTTGTGTTTTAAGTGACAGCTGAGGAACTGTGGCGAGGCGTGCTGGCAGAATCCGGCGCTGGAGCCAGAAAGGGCAGAGGGAAGCGAACCAAACGCAAACTGAGGAGAGACCTCAATCGAGGACAGATCATTGGAGAAGGTGAACATGCATCTGTTTCTGTTTGTGTGGGTTTTTGTATAGTGGTGGTTGGCTGCGTGGGTGTTAGGGAAATCCCATCCTTGACCCATGGTTGTGAATTTGTTCTTTCAGATGCTAAAATGAAGCTAGCTTCATGTTTTCGTAACTTTTTTAAAGGTTCTATACTTTAAGCTGCCTCTAACCAATGCTGTCAAGCAGCTGATGGACACCACACTGGAATATTTACCGTGAGCCAGTCTTGGCCGATGTATTGCACTTCCTGGCTACTTTTTTCACTAATGAGTTGAGGGGTTTTGCTCTCATTCTTTTCACTGTGTCTCACAGGAGTTCTGCTTTCTTTGCCCTCAGGTTTTGTCTTGATTATTTAATATGCCTACTTACTCTGTGTTTTTAGGTCGAGGTGGTTTCTTGTGGCCTGGTCTGAATGCTCCGGTTCTAAAAGATGGCGCCGTGCAGAGCTTCAGCCGAAGGAATGATGCTGAGCAACAGGAAGTTCAGGCGGAACTAAGTAAAAACAAACACACATTGAGAAATTTGACTTTTTACCTCATTTGACTGCATTGAGAATGAGCTGAGATTTTAAATGTTGTTCTTTTGTTTTTTTAACCAAGCCAGTTTAGAACAGGAAGAATGGTGTAAAGCACTAGAAACTCTCTTTATAACCCACTAGCATAAAAAACAGCAGGGGGATATGAAGTCTTAATTTTAAGAAATTGATGCACCAGCAGCATGAGAAGTTGCCAATTTGTTTCCACTGTAATCTCTCATTTGTTAACAGTAATTACACGCCTAATGTGAGAGTATCTAAAAGTATCTTTAATGTTTACTGCTTCAAGCAACTGGAAGTGAGTCATTTCTCTGCCTTCTGTTCCTGCAGCGCGACAGAGGGATGAGTGGGAGAAGAGGAGGAGGATGAGGGTGAAGAGGGAGAGAGGCTGGACAGGGAACTCCTGGGGGGGCATCAGCCTGGGACACCCTGACCCTGGACCCAATGGAGGTAAACAGCACTTAAACACAAAGAGTTTTTGACAAGAAGTTTTCCTTTCCTATTACTTTCAACTAGAAATAACCAGAAAGCTTATTGGCCGGAATTGGGACTTTGATTCATCATACTCATCCTATCAACATTAGTTAAGCCTATTTCCCACTGAAAATACCAGGTTTGTTATTGTTAACAGTCAACCTATGTTTTTCAAACATGGGTCGACTGTTAACAGTAGGCATTTGGCCCCCCTCCCAGTGGCGAAAAAAGCTGGGTCTAACCCCTCACTGTCAGCTGCATGGCCTCCGTCCCCCGCTGCTTCGTGTCTGGTGACACCATCACGCTGTATTAGCATTGATGATTTCACCAGTGTGACAGAAATCAGAAAAGTCAATAGTGGAGAGCAACATATAAGGAAGCCAGGGCATAGTCGGTGTGCTTTATTGTTTCACTCTATTATCTTTCCAGCGCTGCGCCTTGTTTAACGAAAGTAAACAGAGTTTCAGGTAATTTATCGGGTCAGCCTGGGTCTGGTCTTCCTACAGCAGTGGTCTCCAGCCCTGGTCCTCAAGATCTACTGTACTACAGATTTTAGATGCATCCCTGCTTCAACACAGCTGAATCAAATGAATGGCTTGAAAAAGTAATCAATCATTTGATTCAGCTGTGTTGAAGCAGGGATTCATCTAAAATCTGTAGGACAGTAGATCTTGAGGACCAGGGTTGGAGACCACTGTCCTACAGCATGCTGATCAGAGCCGAGGCGACTTTAACGCGGGTCGCTTGCCGATTCGTTTGACCCGGGTCGGTGCGCATCAGTGAGCTGTTCCCACTGCCACTAAAAGCCGTTTATTTCCCGGTTCAAACAGGTTTTTCGGCCAGTGGGAAAGGGGTATTAGAGATGAAAAAAGGTTAAGAGAACTGGCATACAGTCTTGAAATTTTCAGTGTTTTCTCACTTGCTGAAGTTAGTTTGCTTGTATAATTCCTGAGCTGAGGTAAGGTCAACACCAATTATTCTCTCTAGAGATGCAATTGACCTCAGGACAGACTAAATCATAAGATGTGTCTTTATGCCTTACCAACTCAGTTGTTGTAGGAAGTACAGTCTCTGCTTGGCTTCGTTTGGCACCTTCTCTATGTTCGCCGGTCATCTCAAGAAAAGGTTGTTCCTTGGAACCAAAGGGTTATCACAGTCCAAACTGATATTTAGGATGGTGAGGGGAGACTCTAAAGCTACCTTCACACTGCTGCGTGAATTGACCCAAATCAGATTTTTTTGCCCATATGTGACCTTATCTGATCTTTTCATGGCAGTCTGAACAACACAGATCGGATTTTTTTCCAATGTGACCCAGGCCACTGGGCGATGTGTTTCTGAATCTGATACTAATTTGGTCTTTTCAAATGCGACCTGTCTGAATGGCCAGGATGCATTCATCTGATCTGAACGTCATTAATACTCAACGAAGGTCACTATTCTGCATCTTGCTACACAAAGGTGGGAAGAAAAACCATGGAGGACTATAATTCAGAGAGCAGTCTTGAAAAGATTTCATTATTAAGGACTTGCTGAGTTTGGGAGAGATATTAAGCATCGCTAGATGCACTTCAGCACTACTATACATTTACTTTCGTAACCACGGAGCACGCCTGCTTGTGACGTCATTGTGTCTTCTACTGCTCATGCGGGGCACTTAAGTTGTGTGAATGTGGTTCACACAGGATATCATATACAGGTTGCATTTACTTTGAAATGTGAACAACCATGTAAAAGAATTGGATTTCACAAAAACATCGGAATTGAGCATTGCGGCCTGCAGTGTGAATGTTGCCTAAAGGTTCACTATGATCTCCCCACTCTCCAGTGGGTCTAGTTCCAAGTGGTTTTGAGTTCAGCTGAGGACCTGCTTGTCCATCTCCTGCCTGCATGCAGACTCATCACAATGGAAAAATCTAAATAAGTCATTTTTTTTCTTAAAATAAGTCATTTTTCTTTTTTAAATAAGAGCATTTGTTCTCTAATTAAGGAGGTAAGTAAGGCACTTTGCCAATGGAGCAAAACAATTTACATTTCAAATAAGAACAAAAACAATTGCATTCTTATTTCAAGTGCATATTATGTAATTATCTAATGTTTAAAGTAAGTATACTCATTCCATTGACAAATCATTTTATTAACTTGCTCAAATTAAGGGTAAATACATTTCATTTAAGAAACGTTGACTTATTTCTGTTCTGACCAATGACAATGTAGTGAGCAAGCTTGAAAAGTTTAACAGACGGGTCCATTGAGAAGCCCTTGTTTTTTTCCATGAAAAGTGGAATGAAGGGAGAAAATTTTATAGATCGGTATTGCAAGCTCTTGTTGGGGTTTTATTTCTACTAACAGGCCATTGCAAAATTGTTCACACCCCTTAAACTTTAATACACCATCATACTCCAACTACAGACTTTGTATTTTATTAGAATTTTACAAAATACATCCTATCTTTCTTTTATTCGTTAGTCACAAGAACCTAAACTGGTGTCTAGAACTAAAATCTCCATGAGTGCAGACTGGATGATCAGCAGGGAGTCCACCTCATGACACAACAAGCCTCAAAGGCACAGCTTATTCTTGGACAGACACACCAAGTGGCACAGGAGGGTGTGAAAATAACTGTAGCTGTGGGAAAAGAGGGGAGATGGATGGATCAGCAGAGGAGTAATAAGGGCTGTGCAGCTGTGTGGGAGAATAAGAGTGACGGGTCAGTATGGGAGCCCATTATCAGCGATGAAGATGAGGCTTCGACTCAAGTGTCAAGTGGGACAATTTCCTAATTTAGAAAGACATTTCTGTCTGTCCGCTTTGATATAGATTGGTTTTCACCTCCCATGTTGAGTTTCTCTCTGGGTTTTCCCGTTTTTATTCTTCTCAATGAATATATATTAATGTTCTCATCTCAAAACATTGCCACCTTCTTTCGAACCTGCTGTACTTTATGAGGTGTGATTATTCCAGATGTAATTTAAAGCTTTTAATGTGGGCAGTGAGGAGGTCAGATTAGAGTGTTATGAAGAACATTTTTCTTTTCCATGTTGTCAGCCTGACCTTAGAGCAAGAGGTTTATATCAGAGCTTTGGGTTGAAAGTTGAAGGAAATCCAATATAAACCCACAGTGATGCGACTTCTGCTATACCAGCTCTATTTGACTGTCACAGAGGACCACTGCAAGCTAATTTAGACTGGCGAAGGCTTCCTGTTCCCCTCCTCATTACATGCTATCTAGTTCAGCTTGTTTACCTCAGACAGCCATCAGAGTAGAGACGATGCTTTGATTTACTCGTTGCTCTCTCTTTGTGTCACTTTTTCCATTCCTCCTTTCATTTATGTGTTCTTACAGGCGTAATCATTTGGGTTGTATTCATTACTCAGTATTAAGCAATTCAAATCAGCACAAAGAAATAAATAATCAGGGTTTCTGCGGGTCATTAAAAATCATTAAGTCATTTTATTATTATTTTTTTAAATTAATGCCTTAATTGGCATCAAATTTTATTAAATGTGATTATCATGGCATTTAAAATGCTTATATATATATATATAAAAAAGTCAGATATATCAGATTTAACTGGTTCCGCGTGGAACTACTCCTGGTTGATCCTAAAGCCATATGTTCGGAACAGAAGCTCGCGGCACAGAAAAAGCAAGAGAATGGGAAAATGCAAATTTTAACATAGATGGCTGGAAAACGAGAAATTCGGGACATGGCTGCAGCCTGTCGATGGTAAATATTACGAAGGATTTGGCCGTGTATATCATTAAAAAGCATTAAATTAGAGTTCCTCCTGTATAAACCCTGATGAATTGTGTGGTCCAAAAGAACAATATAGGGTGGTTCATAATTCTCAACATTTTTGCATTACATATTATAGTGATTCCTAAACTATTGCTCTGGGTTCCCCTTTGGTTTACAAAAAGTTTTCATGCCCCTAAATTATCTCATCCCCACCCCAGCTGCTACCTTTTCAACAGTTCAACATAAAAAAGTCAACCACAGTAGAATACATATTGCAATGAAATAAATCAATAAACCTCTTTTTAAATTACAAAACTGACACATTTAAAGTCTAACAGTTTGTAGAAATCCAATAATTACTTTAAAATTCTATCATTTTTAATTTTATATGCTGATTTATCATACGATTATATGTGGTTTGTATAATACAGTACTTAGTCCAAACCACACCAACGTTTCTAGCATGATCTCTAGTCTTTAACCCCATGTTTTGTTGAATGCTGATTTAATTCCTTACATTTTTGGGGTCAAAATGAACTGTATTTTGCATTACATAAATAAAAAAATAATATATTGTTAAACACATATCCTACTGTAACATGAAGATATGATGTTATGTATCAACAGGCTAGACATGGTTATAAAGCTTTTGATACCCTTCAATTTAAACTAAGGGAATTTGTGTTACATAAAAGTAGCCAAAGAATAGTCCTTTTAGAAAAGCCACAACTGATTATTTTATTTACCCCAAATTATCATCACGAATCGGTCCCAAGTAGTGCTGAATAAGATCTAAACTAGTTTGGCATAGCTCCAGACAACCCTACCAATTTTAAAATTCTTTAAATCAGTTATGAAGAACTAAATTACAGCATGCAGACTCTACTTACAATTTCAGAGACGTTGATTCACTGCATATTTAGGGGGCTTTATGTAAAAAGCATTACTTTTTATCTGCTTCTGTTTGTTGTTAATTGCTTAGAAGATAGTAGGGTGCCATGGGGGAGACTCTAATGTCCTTCACAGGTTACTGACAATGAGAAGTGTAAACTTGCTACGCTACTGCAGATGCTTCTGCTGGTAGTAGTCTGTGTAGTGATGTATTCATTTGAGTTCTTTTTTTCCCTTTGTTGACAGAAACCTATGAAGACTTTGATTCTCGAGTTATTGAGGTGAGTCTTTTTCATTGTACTGAAAAGATTACAAACTTAAACAGTTCTTGTTTATGCAGAAAAAGTCTACATACTTTCTCATTTTAACTGTCACAAACTTGGTGAAGTGGTTTAAGTTTTAAACTGTGATGCTGGTTTGGAATCCAGGTTTTGTCAGCATAAGACTTTGACAAGTCTTTAAGCAATCTGTAATGCCTGGATATGGTGAACCCTGATTATTAGAGCAAGGGAAATAAGCTGTGTTGAATTGTTTTGGTGTAGTAGCCAACGGTGGCCCTGAAGGGTCAAACCTAATACAAAAGCCACAACACAAAACAATGCCGCAACGCAAAACAACAGCCATAACACAAAAGACAACAGCCACAGCACAAAACACCACCCACAACACAACAACAGCTACAACACAACCAACGCCGCAACAAAAACAAAAAAAACAGCCAAAAAACGGCAGCCGCAACGCAAAAAGCAACATCCAAAATCAGCAGCTGCAACACAAAAGAACAACACCCACAACACAACAACAGCTGCAACACAACCAATGCCGCAACACAAAAGAACAACACCCACAACACGCAGTTGCGCATGTGCAAATGAGCTGATGGTACAGATTGTGCTACTGGTATGGATCGGGTAGTGACAGTACTGCTGCCACCAGATTTTAAGATCACTTTTGGCGATTGTTGTGTTGTGGTGTTTGGTGTGTTATGTTGTGGTTGTTTTGTTATGTGATGGATGACCTTCAGGGCCACCATTAATGACTGGGACAAAGTCCCTCCTTGCACTGGAGCACACACTTTCTTCAGGGCCAGGGTAGGAAGATTCACTTTATCAGAAAAAAAATCAGTCGATTTCCTCATATCTCTTTCTCTGGAAGCAAAGAAAGTCAGATTCAATTTTTCAGGTCCTCTTTTTTTTTTTCAAGCTGTCATTTAAATGGGATAAAACTATGTGTTTAGGGATTTAGAGTTTTTCCCAGTGTATTCTTCTTAATGTTTCAGTCATTGATGTTGAATGTAACAGGCTTTTTGTTTACCAATTATAAGGTAAATCATATTGAATTAAAAATATTTCAGATAAAGCTTTTACATTTGAAGGCTTTAACTGCAGTGTCTCATGATGTAAAAAGAGAAAATCTTAGCTTTATGGACAGAGTTGGACGAGCTTTTGTGTGGGTCTCTAAAAGTAGAAAAATTGGTAAAGAGGTCACAGCTTCGTTCAGGTTCACAGTGTAAAGAAAGCAGCACATCTCACAACAAAGACTCTCTTTTCTGTTTTCTCTTCTTCTATAAAGGACATCAATACTTTTAAGAAAGGCATTTTCAGTAGGTAACTTTTTAGAGTAAAAGTTTGTATTGAAAAAGAGAATATGATGCTTTAGAAAACGTTGGCTCAGTTCTTTCTATCATAAAACTTCTATATTGTACCTCTAAGGTATTACACTACAGTCATGGCCAAAAGTTTTGAGAATGATTCAAATGTTAAGATTTACAAAGTCTACTGCTTGAGTTTTTATAACGGCAATTTGCATATACTCCAGAATGTTGAAAAGAGTGATCAGCATAACAGCAATTAATTGCAAAGTCAATATTTGCCTAGAAAATGAACTTTATCCCCCAAAACATATTTCCACGTCATTGCAGCCCTGCCTTAAAAGGACCAGCTAACATTGTTTCAGTAATTGCTCCATTAACACAGGTGTGGGTGGTGATGAGGACAGGGCTGGAGATCAATCTGTCATGATTCAGTAAGAATGACACTACTGGACACTTTAAAAAGAGGCTGGTGCTTGGCATCATTGTTTCTCTTCTGTGAACCGTGGTTATCTCTAAAAAAAAACGTGCAGTCATCATTGCACAGCACAAAAATGGCCTAACAGGAAAGAGATTCGCAGCTAGAAAGAGTGCACCTCAGTCAACAATCTATCGCATCATCAAGAACTTCAAGGAGAGAGGTTCCATTGTTGCTAAAAAAGGCTCCAGGGCGCCCAAGAAAGACCAGCAAGCGCCAGGACCTTCTCTTAAAAGTGTTTCAGCTGCGGGATGGGGCTACCAGCAGTGCAGAGCTTGCTCAGGAATGGCAGCAGGCAGGTGTGAGTGCATCTGCATGCACTGTGAGGCAGAGACTCTTTGAGCAAGTCCTGGTCTCAAGCAGGGCAGCACTTCTCTCCAGGTAAAACATCAGGGACAGACTGATATTCTGCAAAAGGTACATGGAGTGGACTGCTGAGGACTGGGGTAAAGTCATTTTCTCTGATGAATCCCCTTTCCGATTGTTTGGGACATCCGGAAAACAGCTTGTTAGGAGAAGACGAGGTGAGCGCTACCACCAGTCTTGTCTCATGCCAACTGTAAAGCATCCTGAAACCATTCATGTGTGGGGTTGCTTCTCAGCCAAGGGAGTCGGCTCTCTCACTGACTTACCTAAAAACACAGCCATGAACAAAGAATGGTACCAGAATGTCCTCCGAGAGCAACTTCTCCCAACTTCTCACTGTCCAAGAGCAGTTTGGTGATGAACAATGCCTTTTCCAGTGTGATGGAGCACCTTGTCATAAAACCTAGGAATTCTGACAAAATGCAAGCATTGATTGTGCAAGAATGGACTGCTATCAGTCAGGATTTGGTGCAGAAGTTGATTGAGAGCATGCCAGGGAGAATTGCAGAGGTCCTGAAGAAGAGGGTTCAACACTGCAAATATTGACTTGCTGCATTAACTCATTCTGTCATTAAAAGCTTTTGTTACTCATAATATGATTGCAATTGTATTTCTGTATGTGACGACAACATCTGACATACACACATGAAAAACCAGAGGGCAGCAGATCATGTGAAAATATAATATTTGTGTCATTCTAAATACTTTTGGCCATGGCTGTAGTAGAGGTAATGGTAGCTCACATTTTAGCCTTTTTTTTTTAATTTACTCTGTTTGAATTCTTCACTTCTGAGATAGGGTAAATAAATTATGTGAACAAGTATGATGAATTTATATATTTCTCTCATCTTGCTCTATCACCCAGGGTGTTATTAAAATTGACCATTTTGACCAGCAAACAATACATTTCATTGTTCTTGGAGATGTTTTAATTGGTATGATTTAGAATATTTTTTAGATATATTTTAATTGGCAAATAACAATGTACCTTTCCATATTGGAGACAATTTTGAAGAAAAATGTACTTTAAAATAAAAATAAAATTATTATTTTCTTAGATAATTAAGAGGTTTTTTTAGCATCTCTCAGACTAACATTGTTTTGCCATATTTACCTTAGCTAAGTAACAAAAAACTCTTTATGGCTTTACTTTGTTACTTCAACAGAATAATGCAGTATTTAATTTGTAAAAATAATTGGAAAGTCCACAAAGCTAAATCATTGAAGAAGCAAAGCTTTTCTAGAAACATTTAGATCTAAAGACCTATTTTGTTTTTGTTTGTTTGCCTTTTTTATTTAACCAAGATCCATAGTTTTTTGCTTTTGTTTTGGACAGATTTGTTTAGACTGCTTAACTACAATTAATTGGATTAATCATGGTTAATCGATCATTCAAATATCCTCAACTAATTTAGTAATCAATTAATCATTAACTGGAGCATAGAGACTCCCAAAACCTGCATTTAGCTGACAGAGCGACCCACTTAGAGCAGTAATTATACCAAAACTGTACAAAAAATAATACATAAACATTTTGCATTTAAAATAATAAAACAATTCTCTGTCAATATGCTCTATCCAGAAAACCTGAAGTAGAAAAATTTCAGTTTCACCTGGTTTAATTTCATGAAAAGTCTTCTTTAATGAACCTTTTGTTATCTGATTATTAATGGATTAATGGAAAATCATAATCAACAAATTAATCGATTTTTAAAATAATCGTTAATTGCAGTCCTACTACAGATACTGTTCCTGACCATTTTCACATTCGTCATTATTTAGAGGCTTTTTTTATTTTTATTTTTATTGAATATTTTAGACCATGATTAACTAGCTGATTTATGATTTTGTTTTTGTCATTATTCAAATTTTTGAAACTAAGCCAAATTAAATTATGTCAATCAAAGAAAAAGAAACTTGATTAAAAAAAACATAACCCAGACAACTGTAGCCTCAAACCTCAGGCTACAACTGCATTACTCCACTCTGCACTGAATTAAAAGACTACTGCATATATGTGAATAGCATATGGATAAGTTACTCTCAACAGACATTTAATTTAGATTCTTTGTTCATCATGCAGAATTTCCCCTTAATTCAATTAGCACTGATGGGCCCTAGCGAACTAATGAGAGGAATGCCACAGGGTCACATATACACACAAAACTTCCAGCTATGCTTCTGTGCCACTCATTTACACACAATATAATGCAAGAGGATGTGATGGGACTAAGCTTTGCATTATTAATGAATGCTATACAGCTGGTTAAAATTTCTTTATATTTTATATATTTCTCTAGTATGCTTTTGTTATGCTTTTCTCAGCTGCTACATAATCAGACAATGCATACTAGTGTGTTTTACATTGACAGTCTTCTCCAGCTCTCCTGTCTACATTAATAAGAATGGTGTCACAGACATTAGACTTCCCTTTGGAAGCCGACGGACACTTTTATGGTGCCATCAGTTTCTATAAATACACCCTTCACAGTGGTTTGTGTGTGTGCCACTATAAATTTAAGCCTAATGAAATGGAAGAGGCTTACTGGAATAAAAGGCTTGTCTCCCAAGGACGATGAGGCTGCATTAGTGAGCTGGTCCAGCGGGAGAGGAGCAAGCAGGGAGGAAGAGGAATAAAAAAGGGGGACGTGAAGCAAGACAATTTAATATGAGTTTGGAAAATAAAGGCAATAAGCCACAAAGTTTAACTTTCAATTTAACTTGAACGTAAGTTGGACTTAATTAGGGCTGCACCTAGCAATTATTTAGCTAATTGATTAATCTGTCAATTATTTTTTCAATTAGTGATCGGATAGCTGAAGGTTCCTTATGAGTTTTGCAGAATG